AAATTAGAGCATTCAAGCAGGTAAGCTGAACCCCATGCTTCCACTGAAAGCACGTTTGTAAAAATCAACTTTTCCATTCTTTGTTTGTGGGGACAGGGACAGATTTACTTAAGACAACAATGCTGTTCACTTTGCAAGGGAGTTTGCACTTTCTTAGGGTGGGCCGAAGCCAGCCGAAGGATCGGCCGAAGCTACGGCCAGATCCTTCGGGAGCTTTGTGAATAGACCCCTTAGTTTAGTGAATGAGGTGAAGCTCTGCTGACTTCCATCATCCGATCATGGAAGTGCAAGCAAAAATACTGTTTTTTTTAATCTTCCTTGCACATTATTCCATGCAAAGTGAATTTTCACCACATTCACTAAGCTAAGGGTAAAAATTCCCTTGCAAAGAGAACAGCCTATTTGCCATTAGTAAATCAAATTCACAGTTTCAAATAAGTAAATATTTTAAAAGAAGGAAAATATGAAAAAGATATAATAATCCCATTAATTAATGCTTCAGAATCCCATCATCTCTGTCCCCAGAGGCCACTGCATCCTATCAATGGCAAGTAACAAGAGTTCACATTTTGATTTACAACATTTTGATTTACAATGTAGTCTTCTGGTCTTTCATCAGTTGTTCTACTGGCTATTCAGAGGTAACGTGGCCATCAGGGACATGCTGGGTTACTCCTACCCAGCTGTGCAATGTCACGGAGATGAGAAATATGGAAATTACAGCAAGAAAAGCTCCACTCCTGCATCCTGATTGCCGTGACATATTAAGAAAGTTAGCACAAAAATAAAGCAAAAATCACACAAAACATCACAATGAAGACACACACCAACAACTAGACGTGTAAGCCGGCAAAAAACGTGTTTCATTTTGTTTGTTTCGTTATTTAGTTTTCCGGGATTCAGGTCTGAAAGTCAATTCATTCGGCATTCAGATTTAGATGAATCAGAATTTTGGTTAATTGATCATTACAAATGAGAATTCGGTACAGAAAAGTAACATTAAATGTTTACTTTGTTTCTTTTTAATTTATGACAACCCCCACACCAAGAAAATTAACAAAAAAGTGGTGTCCCCATAAAAACCCTACCGGACCATTAATCTGGTTAGCAGCCTGGCAGGACAGGAAAGGTGGGATGAGCGAGTGCCCCCACTCCACCATACCAAGCCACATGCTCTCAGCATTGGCAGGGTGCTTTTTCAGGGGGGACCCCCTGGAAAAGCACATTGTCTCCATGCCAATGGGGACATGGGCGAGGGGGCTCATCTGCATGTGGGTACCCCTTTCATAAAGAGGGCATCCAGATGTTGCCCCCCTTGCGAATGAATAAGTGGTACTTGTACCCCTACTTATTTTTTATAGGGTTAAATAAAATGTAAAAAAAACACATCACATCTTTAAAAAAATTATTTTATTTGAACAAAAAACATAAACATCAGTTTTTGACAATTCCTTTATTTAATTTTTCTTTAAAAGAAGTCCCACAATCTTATTCCAGTGTCCAGCCGTCAAAAAATAAAATAAAATAACAGGCTTTGTTTATTTTTGCCCACTGCCTGGTGTAAACATTGCATCAGTGAGTTTTTTTTTATTTGTCTGCTGACGCTGGAATAACTTAGTGGGACAATTTTTTTTAGATTTATAAATAAAGGAATTGTCAAAAACTTGTGTAGTGTTTTTTTTTTAAAGGAATTTTTCAAAGGTGTGGTGTGTTAATTTACATTTTATTTAACCCTTTAGTGAATGAGTAGGGGTATAAGTACCCCTTACTCATTCACAAAGGGGGGAACAGCATCTGGACACCCCTTTTATGAAAGGGGGTACCTAGTTGCAGATGCACCCCCCTGCCCGCAGACCTCCACAAGCACCGGGTCAGGGTTGTGGGGAAGCTGTCCTTGTCCCCATCAACCATTTTTTTCAACCTTATCAATGATGTAACTATTTAATCATGCAGCAGTACTTGTCTTTCTTAGAAATGCAGTATTCTCACAAACTTAGTGTCATGGATGCACCCTGTATTCAACTGTATTTGTTCAATTAAGATTTATATTAAAAAAATTAAAACAGAAGTTTAAAAACTTGTATTCTTAATATAAAACTCACAATATATCATTTTAGTCTCCCTTAAAAACCTGTAGGTTGAAATATATTTAAAAACTATTGAAATATGTTGCCAATAATGCAGAGTCTGAAGATTTTCTCAAAAAGGAAGAACAGACCTAGTTATACAAGCAGCTGATGTTCTTATGCTGCTTTCAGATTTTCAATATCTTCTTAAAACTCATCAAGATGCAGATGAATGTGCTGAATGCAACTTTGAATACAAAGAAGGATCTCAGACACCATTCTGCTAAACTATATTATCAGCCCCTAGAGGACACTCTTGCTTTATGAGTTCATTTAATATGGAAACCTCGGTTTTTCAGATGCAAATACTTATCATTATATCAGCTTGCTGTATATTGGAAAGTGCATTTTAATCTGCTCTCCCCCTAACGATACCTGTTCTCAAAATTTCTTGAATTCCCAAAGCTTTGGCTGGTAAATATTAAATACTTGCGTGAAGTAATTTATTTCTTAAGGAACAGCGTACTATTTCATAAATTTATAGAAATCTGATATAGAAAACAGTACCGGTAAAGCGTTGTGTAGAAAATAATTTTAAAAAGGCAAATGCACCTTAGAGAGACTCTGTTACTTTTCCCATTTAGTGTCTCCTGATAGCCTACCCCCATTAAGGTATACTTATCCTTTGTCTCCTCTTTCTCACTCATTCTAAGCCCTTGATCCCTCAAAGCTCTAGTTTTGTTGCTGTAAAGGAGTGGGCCTTTCGGGTATAGGGCAGTATGTGACTGATCATCAGGCCATGAAGCAATGACCTAATTAAGCTCTAGAGCCATTCGACACTTATCCAGGTGCGACTCCTGCAGCAAGGAGGTAGTAAAGGAGGTGGATTGGTGAGTATACCTTGCTGGGGTGAGCTATTATATCAAAGTGAAGTTGCCTTTTAAAGGGAAGCTAATTAAGTTTCTTCTTCAGCTGTTTGCACGGACAATATTGGATTACACCCGTTTTAGGGTGAAATAAATTCTTACATAACCTTTGGCAAAAATCTGCTGGAGGATGGATAGTCTTTTGCAATCTTCAAAATGGATTTTTCTGAACTACAAACAGGCAAGACTGCAAACATAATTATTTGCAAAAAAAAATTATTCTGACCTTTTACAAATATGTTTCTAGGTCTAAAACATATTGTTATGTTTATAAAAAAAATAACCCCTTACGGTACTTGTAATGCTTCTGCCCTCACTGTTGTTCAGTAGGGCTCTACGTAATTGATCATTTAAAAAAATGCTTGGTAACTATGTGTGTGACATTTTTCAAGAAAGTCCAGTAAATTACAAATCTGACTTTTGGGTTTTGAAAAAGTCATACTCTTAACTTAATATTTTCAAGGAAGTTTGTAAATACATTTTTTAAAGGAAGGGGTCACTCTGGTCTGTGCCTGTATACCCATCAGAGGCTTTTTAAAGTGAACACTGCTTGCCCTATGATAAAAAACGATTTGGTGCACAAATGACAATGCAAATTATAATTGTTAATATTCTGCTTGGGCACTGGCCGATAATTCCCGGTTTTGTGAACCTTCACCTTCTTCATCTTTGCTTTAAAGGGACATTATATTAGTTTTGGTCAATTTGTTGACCATATATTCATTCTATACAGTCTATACAATCTTCATCATGTAAAAATAAACATATCACTTTAAACACTGAGCATTTATAACATGATAAAGAATTCCCGAAACACCAGTGGTTAGCTAAAAAGACAACACAGCAGAAACAATCTCTATTTAAGCCCAGGAACTCATTTACTTGTGAATGTAAACTTCAACCATTTCTGTAAAAAGGAGCTTCAATAGTCAGTTAAAAAAAGAATACTAAATACTAAGTAATATTTCTTTTTTACTTAACAACAAAACATTTTATAAATAATAAGAATTAAGAAAATATATACATACAAAACCATTATATTACTCTTTTTAAAAAGGACATTAAATTAATTCAGTTATGCATTTATTTAAAAAAAAAAAAAGTTAATTTTTAATTCATTTAGTATGGATACTAGAATTTAACTTGATTTCAGCCGTTTGTAATCCCCTGTAAAGCAGCACTGAGACTGGGAGGGGGAGGTGCCGCGCTTGGGATCTACCAGGTGCATTCACAACCTGGTAAGAAACATCCAGACAAGAGAAGAGAGCAGAGTGATGAGTCATGTCTATACTCTCTGTTCCTTCTCATCACTGTCCAATCACATGCCTAGGGCAAAGATGTCACAAAGCTGTTTGTGTTATTGTAGCAGAGAAAGTCAGGTCGCCATCCTGGCTCTAAAGTCTAGCAGAGCGGTATTTTTCTATAAATTTTAGCATATCGTATTTAGAAAGGATTACAGGAGTCTTTTTAATGTGCACTAGACAAAATGCTACTGCAGTTTCTGGATAAACAACATCCCTGTCTATGTAAAAACATCCATGTAATTCTAACAGTCTGTGAGATGCAGAAAAAAAATTACTTTCATTGTGTCAGTGTGGCTTCTTTTTTCTCAACTGCATGTCACTATAGGAAGGTATGACTCTGATAAAAAAAGATGCAACCTGGCATCCCTTATTCCCTACTCATGTGAATCTCCCTTACAACCAATAAGCTGTGCCCTGCATATAGCATATGTAACTCCATTTGCCAACCTCCCCAGACAGAAGCCATGACCCATATGCCAATGACTAGTTATTTTAGTAATTTGGCTTGAAGGAAATAATTTGCGTGTTTAGGACTTCTCAAAACCAAAACAGTTACACACATTCTTTCACTATGGTATATTTGCACATTCTTATGGCCATTCAAATGTATGTTGTATTTTTGGCTGAATCTGGAGATATTCTCTATGATTGTTTCTATTATATCCACATTTGCTAATGTGTGATATTGCTGCTACATTACCTACCTCTTTGATGAAGTTCATAAAGCGATTTCCAAATCTCCAAGCTTTATGTCGATGACACTGCAATGAATTGACTGTCATCTGAGGGGCCCTCTGGTAGCAAACTGACACAATATGGACTGCATCATATGTCAGAGCAGCATCTGTCTAAAATAAAGGGCAACAGCATTGTAATTGAGAACAATTTCACAAATACCCCATTACTGCTACAGCATACAGAGACATTTTAGACAATTGTGTGATCCTGACCTTGTGGTAACAGTTCGGGGACAGTCCTGTTTGACTCTGCCCCTTTGTACACAGTCAGGTCCATAAAAACATAGTTAACCAAGCTTCATGTGAAGGAGGTAAAATGAGCTGCACAGAGCTGTGGCCTCAACTATACTGAACATCTTGGGGATGAACTAGAACACAGATTGTTAGTGAGGGCTTCTCAACCAAAATCAGAACCTGACCTCACAAATTATCTTTTGGCTGAATAGGCATTAATTCCCTTTTGGGAAGGTTTCCCAGAAAAGTGGAGGCAGTTGTAGCTGCAATGGGGAAAGGGCAATGGCTTTCATTTATTGTGCACTTTATGTCTAGGCACCTGTATTTGTTTATATTGTATTTGTTGTTATTATGATTATGTGATAAATTATGTGGTTGCAGACACCTTACCTGTGAATTGTTTAATTCCTACACACCCACCTTTTAGATCTTGGTAGGTGTGAGGGCTTTTTAGTAATTGGGGTCTAAGGAGTGTACTGAGATAAATGTCTCAATATAAATTACCAGACAAAGTTTGGTTCACTTAACATTACTGTAAAATTCAGCGTCATCTGACTCTGATCTTGCGGTGTTCATTCGACTGAACGTGCAAGCTCAGAGCCGCTGATAAAGTCCAGAAATGTCACTGGCAATTGCGCATGTGCAGGGAATCGGATTCATAACATTCACAGCTGAGTAAAGAATTAACACATGAGCATCTGTGCAGGGAAGCTACTGGCTTTACACTGTAATGGTTCTAACAGAATCCTGCTATAATCCTGTGGCTCAGTTTCTAACAGGCCATGGACTGTACCGGTCCATGGCCCGGAGGTTGAGGACCCCTGCCTTATTAGGTAATGTCAGCATTTTAAGGTGGTATATGGTATGTCCCCAGTGGGTATGGTCGACTTCTTGAAAAAAATCTTTTGAAATGGATATTGCCTTGTAAATTGCTTAGGAGGACTGAATAATTTATTGGGAGTTTTCAATCTCTGTACAGAACATGTTCAAGTAAGGAGTGTTTGGTAAATTTTTATTAGTCATGGGGCTTGACAGGGATCCCAGACTAGTCACAGCACCAGTAGAAGCAGCAGGCTGCTCCATTATTAGGTAGTTCACATTCTGTCAGTAAGAACCAATATGGTATCTGTAGTCTAGGAGCTATGGCAAGCAACTGTATGTCTCTTGCAAAAAAGAAGCAATTGCGGGAAGATGGTACGTCAGACTAAAAAAGTGGGAACAGAGTGTGGAATGTAAATATGCACTGTAACTACAAAGGCAGCACTTAATTCCTTAGTGTGTTAACCCTTTCTGTAGAAATTGGCAGAATAGGCGGTAATGGTGGCACTCTAACAACACCAATAAATATAGTAGTTCCTGCTGCATTGCCCGACAATCTACTCTTAAATGAGTCTTTAGAGACAATGTCGCACCAGAGGCTGTGCCACAGCACTGCACCTAGAGAGCATTTTGTGGCTAAGACAGTACTCTAAGGTCCAGAAAGTGACACAAGCAGAACCCAGTGTCAAAAGGTCACATTCCAGACAGGCCCTGAAACGTCTTCTATGGCCTCTAGTCCTTGTAGGGAGTTTAGAGTGAAAAGTTTATTGCTGATGTTGCCATCATGCACGCACTACACACACACTTGCACATAAAGGTTGAACTCGATGGACCTGTGTCCTTATTCAACCTCAAATACTATGTATGTAAGGTAATTGTAAAAGAAAAAACTATTCCACAGCCAAATATACATTGCCAGTGTAGGCAGTCACTGAAATTGTCCCTGTGAATTGTACTGTTCTGTAACACCATATGCAACTTTAGGTGAATTTTGTGCTGACATATTTTAAACAGGTTTACTAGAACCCTTGGCAAATTGATCCTAGGCAGATTTGCTCATCCCTTTCCATCTGTCTACATAATGCTATGGGTTTGAATGCTAACATTCTGGTACTTGTGGCATGCAGGTGCAGTAGATTTGCAGTAGTGAGATGTCCATTTCCTCATAGGTGAAATGTTCAGTGTATGATGCAGGTATTTAGGAGTATTTTCTTAATACTGGTGATTGCAAACTACAGCCTTAAAGCAGAAGTATAGCAAAACAAAATACTTAAAAAAAGGAGAGGTGCCTTTAGGAGCTTTTAACCATAATGTGCTAGTATACTCAGCATACTAGCACATTATGAGTAACCTGTCAAACCTATCACCTTCAGCGCTGCACTTCTCTCTCACCAGTACTTCCATCCTCATTCTGTTCTTCTCCCAGATCTTGAGTCGCTTATTGAATTGGTCGTCCCCCGATGATGTAACTTCCACATGTGCGCTGGCCATGTGGACTGAGCTACACATATGTGGCTCAGTGTACAGAAAAAAAAATCACTGAATGGCAGCAAGAAGCTTTTATGGCAGAAGAGACTTACAGAGTTTTTTTTTTTGTTTGTTTTTTACCTTACTTCCACTTTAACTTCATTTTTCAAGATTGTATTTATTACAGCTATATATCTGTTTGAAAACAGAGCAAACCTAAAGAAGCCCTGTTTCCCAGAACAGCAATGCAGATGATTTTTTTCATTTTCTAACTTTCTTAACAAATCGTATAACTGGAATGTGATTGGATAATATTTTCAACTATGACAATAGTTGTTTTTGAGCCCAACTATATATTTTATATACTCAGTGGTTTTAAAAATGAATGGTGTATTATTTTTAGTTTGTATTAAAACATCCCCTTTGGGGGATTATAATCTTATTATTTGAAATAGTTTATAGTTCACTAAGTTCTCTTCAAATAACCTTAACTGTTGAAAGAAAAACTCAAAAAAGAAACTGTATTAGTGTGAATACCATTCCTGAACCTTCTCCAGAATTGCCTCAGCACACTGGCCCAATGACCTGGAACCTTTGAGGCTGCCAATGTATCATCCTCTATGTGTGTTTGTGTCCTCGTTACTGATACAGCAGATGATAAACAGCACTAGAGGCTAGTGGCATCTGGACTCTGAAGAGGTTGTAAGTGAGTGAGGCGTAACCCAATCCTTGCAATGATAGAACCACAGGCTACACAAGGAAAATTACATGTTCAAAAATCTCCCAGTAGCAAACAGAAAGTTTGAAAAAAATAATAAGGTCATAAACCAACAGAGAAAGGTGAATGAAAGGAGATGAAATAAAGTGGAGATATGAAAAAAATAAAAGGATCGTAGGAAAGCAACAGATATTTATAATGAAGTTGATGTTTGAAAATGTAAGCAACCAATCAAAACAAAGTGGAACTAAGAGCCTGATTTGAAAAACTTGCGAGCCGGAAAGATTTTTTTTTCAAAATTAATATACTATGGGGTCTATTCACAAAGCTGCCGAGGGCAGCCGAGTGAATGACCGATCAGAAGTGAAGTGAGCCGACCACCTTTCGGCTATTCACTTCAGGCTGGTACGGCTGATTTCAGCCGTATATCAGCTGAAATCAGCCGTACATCGGCTTGCTTCGTGTGGCTTCGGATCAGCCGAACATGCTGAGCATGTTCGGCTGATCCGAAGCCACACGAAGCAAGCCGATGTACGGCTGATTTCAGCCGTATATCAGCTGAAATCAGCCGTACATCGGCTTGCTTCGTGTGGCTTCGGATCAGCCGAACATGCTGAGCATGTTCGGCTGATCCGAAGCCACACGAAGCAAGCCGATGTACGGCTGATTTCAGCCGTATATCAGCTGAAATCAGCCGTACATCGGCTTGCTTCGTGTGGCTTCGGATCAGCCGAACATGCTGAGCATGTTCGGCTGATCCGAAGCCACACGAAGCAAGCCGATGTACGGCTGATTTCAGCCGTATATCAGCTGAAATCAGCCGTACATCGGCTTGCTTCGTGTGGCTTCGGATCAGCCGAACATGCTGAGCATGTTCGGCTGATCCGAAGCCACACGAAGCAAGCCGATGTACGGCTGATTTCAGCCGTATATCAGCTGAAATCAGCCGTACATCGGCTTGCTTCGTGTGGCTTCGGATCAGCCGAACATGCTGAGCATGTTCGGCTGATCCGAAGCCACACGAAGCAAGCCGATGTACGGCTGATTTCAGCCGTATATCAGCTGAAATCAGCCGTACATCGGCTTGCTTCGTGTGGCTTCGGATCAGCCGAACATGCTGAGCATGTTCGGCTGATCCGAAGCCACACGAAGCAAGCCGATGTACGGCTGATTTCAGCCGTATATCAGCTGAAATCAGCCGTACCAGCCTGAAGTGAATAGCCGAAAGGTGGTCGGCTCACTTCACTTCTGATCGGTCATTCACTCGGCTGCCCTCGGCAGCTTTGTGAATAGACCCATATGTCTCTTCTGCAATAAATGCTTCTTACCTTCATCCTCGCAAAATTATTTACAATTATTTATTTTCTCAGCAAGCAGCATTTTTTTTTATTAAACATGGGAGTTACATCAGCCTGGCCGATCAAGTTGGCTAAAGACCCTGAACCTGGAAGAAGCTGGGGAGAACATGTTGGCACTGGTGAGGGAGTTTGTGGACGTTGCAATCACTTGATGGCAAGTAAGTATGGATGGGTTTAGTTACACTTAAATTCAAATAAAAAAGGAGCTTTACTTTTGCTATGGTCTACCTCTCTCCTATTTCATTCATAAGCTCTGATGTCATGCAAGTTTTTTGGTGTTATTGTGATCCAGTAGCAGCTCAGGAGGTTTGAGGGTCAGCATAACAGTCAGCAACTATGCTATATTTGTACAAACAGGATATTAAGGTAGTCTACTTGTTTCTGTCTTTAAAGAATAAACATGGCTGCTTGATTTACTATATCGGGTGAGACATAAAACATATACTTAACTGAAATAGGAAAATCTGGGTTTGTTGCCATAGACAATACTAACACTTTCCTTCTTCTATCCACTTTTTAATATGTTAAACCCAATGTTTAAAATGTGACTAAGTCATCATGATGAATTTAGGGTAGTATATTGCAGAATTTAAAATATATATGTCTACAAAACTTTTATTTATTTTGACCACAAAAAGTGTGCACTCCATATTTAAACTCTTTCCAAATGCAAGGTTCATTTCACATGGATATAATAGCAAGCTCTTTTGACAAGTAAAATATGTGTGCTTTAACTATGCATTCATATTGCTTCCTGGACCTGACATTTAAAGAGTATCTAAAATTGTTACATGTAGTAATGATTCTAGTGGCATTAATTTAATAAAACTTAAATGGGTCTATCAATATATCACTGACTTAAGTAATTAATCAGCCCAAAATAGTTCAAATCTTAGTGAAGGTGGTAGATCTGTCCGTTTTTATTGCTATTTGTGTCCATATTTGGGGAAAATCTATTCAACAGGGACCCATCATTTTATGTAAATTTCACCTCCCTTCGTGTGCTGTGTTGAGAAGTGAAACATAATTTCTGCAACAAGAACGCTATTACAATAATGTTTTTAGTGGGGAGTGGGGAAGGGTAAAAGCCTCTGTCAAGTTATAGTTTACTTGGACAGGCAGTAAATAAAAATCTCCCCAACAGGAATACAGATAGCAATAAAACTAAAATAAAAATATTTTCTTGATGTTCACTGTCAATATTTAATACAAACTTGGGTATGTATGCATGAACAAGAATATTACTCTGGGATCGTACCGTCATTATTCCATCTAACAGTCCAGTCTCTGGTTTAGGAGGTGCTTGAAGACGTTCCATTTGCCATTTATCTATGATAGTGGTAACATATGGGTTTTCCACATTTAGAAGCCGGAATCCTGTAAGATTCACTCCAGAGTAGCGATATGGTTCCAGGTCCAGAGCATAAAGATCCTGAAAAAGACATGATGTATTTTGTTATACTACATTGAAAGTACAGCCTTAAATAAACAGTTATCCAAAACTCATAGATGGATAAATACTCCATGCTATTTGTCTTATGCCACTTACCCCCCTACCCCCATCAACTGGCTAGCTTTGGTATCACAGAACTAGATCAGAAATCATGGCTAAATAAGGACCTCTGGTATGTTTCTGTGTAGGTATACCCAATATTATTTTTTGTTTGTTTTGGATAGAGCCTGGAAGAGTTAAAACTGCTGTCAGTTTTAAGCATAAACCTGTCCTGCCAAAACCAGTGGTTTAATATGGAGTTTGTGTATGTCAGGAGAGTTCTTTTTCACTTTTACAGGTTTTTTTCTCTCGTTAAAATCTCTATTAATACTAACATAAGAGCAGTTTAAGTATTAAACATTTTTGTAAAAAATAGCACAGAACGAGCATGGAGCGGGAGAGAAGAATGCATACAGAATAATGGCCAGGATTCTTGAAGTCAGGAGTGAGGTGAAACAACTAGAAGGGAAGTGAAATCATGCTTGACTTAAGGTGAATCTGTGTTAATTCAAACATCCAGTTATACTGTGAGTAAACATAGGTGCACTTCACCTTACTTTACACCCAGGCTTCGTTTCACTTCACCTCATTTTATCTAATTTTACACTTTCGTAAATCCTTTCTAAAAAAATGTATGTTGGTGCAAAAATGGCATCATGTGGCCTTTGGATCAGGGATTAGTAGAGCCAAAAAGAGAAAGCTGAAAAACGTAAAACTCTATGTGTATTTTTCTATTTATTTTAGCACACAGTTAAATTTTTAGTTATTGTCAAACTTAAAATGGTTTCTAAAATTTAAGGAACTGCTTACATTTTTTTAAAGTGTTTTTGATTATTTTAATTATTTGTTTTTTACAAAAACTTTTAAGATAATGCAATGCCAGCTGTCACTTATTTACCAATAGAAGGTTAGCATTACATACATGATTGGGCTCAGAGAGTGTGTTAGGGTTTGCAAAAGAGTGATTTTTTCTTCTTTCATGCACTTTTTACCTCAGTAGTCCACATGATTACATTTTGAGCTACTCTAATTGCACTGAATTGCACTGAAATCACTCCACTCCTCTCTACTAACAAGCTGAATATCTGTGCACCCAGCATCTTATTTATCAGCAGAACAGCTCATGGAGAAGAAAGTCTGGAAAATTATTCTTTGCATGATGAGACTTTTTCTAGATTCAGCTACATCCTAAGGAAAAGTGTGAGCTACACAGACAAATAAAATCTTGCACAGACATTGCACGTTTCAGTCTCAAAAGTCAGTAGGCATTTAATGGATTGTTTGTAATTCTCTAAACTATAAGACCTGGTTTGCACCTAGGAATTTTCAGTTTTGCACGTTTTCACATGTTTATCACGCAATTTTTTTCTGCACCAATCATTTAAATACATGGTGTCCAGCCTGCAGCTTGGAATACACATGTAGCCCTTTGACACTTTCTGTGTGGCCTTTGGGGCCCCTGCAGATTTCGGTCAGTTTTCGTGCATACTTAAGCCAGGGAAGGAAAAAACATCTTTAGAGTGGCTTCTAGTAGTTAATGGTTTGGTTTATTTCTTTCAAACTATCTTACTTTTTCTGTAATGCCTATCCAATTTCTATATTTATGTAACATAGTTACATAGTATTTCAGGTTGAATCAAAGACACAGGTCCATCGAGTTCAACCTCTATGAGCGTGTGTATGTGTGTATATGAGTCTGTGGGGTTGATTTACTAACCTTTTAAACACACCACGAACGTGTATACACCTCTGTAGTGTGTTCCCTCCCAGCATGATCTATGGGAGGAATCGAAACACCTTTGTAGTGTGTACACACCCAGCAGGTGTGTTGTGCAAAGCCCTGCAATGAATTGCAAGGTAATGTGGTGTAAATTAGCTCTATGTTATGTTGCTTGCGTTGATGAATGCAGGAATGTAAATGCATGAGCTAACCATTTTTGTCTAAACTGTGAAGCAGCATTATATATGCATCATGTGCATGATTTTTCCATATATGGCATTAGTGGAAATATGCTTTTAGAGACTTTTTGGTTGATAAATACGTTTTGCTGTGTGAAAATCACACACACCTGGTGCGTGCGTGTGTTTAGGTTAGTAAATCACCCCCTGTGTGTGTTCCAGTCAGTAAGAGTACCTGTACCCCTGCATGTTATGGTCTTTGAGGAAGGTACCTAAATTATTTGTGAATGATTCAATACTCTCTGATGATACCACTGATTGTGGAAGAGAGTTCCACATTTTTACCCCTCTAGTAGAAAAGAAGCCCCTACACATAACTTGTGGTTAAATCTTTTTTCCTCCAATTTTGGTGGTGGCCTCTAGTTGTTTACTGTAAACAGTTTATTACTGATATTAGTATCACCAATAAACAATTTGTACATCAAAATCTTGTACCCTCTTAATTGCCTCACTTCTAGAGTGAATACATTTATATTTAGCAACCTTGTCTCATAGCTTTGGTCCACTAGCCCTTAATTCATTTTGTTGCCCTTCTCTGTACCCTCCCCAGCTCCAGGACATCCTTTCTATGAATTGGTGACCAAAATTAAACCTCATACTCAAGATGAGGCGGAACCAGAATTTTTCGTACATTTATTTTTTGTTTTGGTTTGTTTTCTTCGCACACTGCCCATACACCTGCCGATTAGCGTATGATCGCGGGATCACCCGCAATTATCGTACGATAATCGGCAGGTGTATGGGTACCTTTACATAGGACACTAAGTAGCAGCCAAGTGCTGCTAATCAAATGCTCTTGATTAATTGATCATCAGCAAGTGTGTCCACCTCTATAAATGCTGAAGTTTTAACAGTTTGCTCGTCTGGAACATTGAGGTGTGTGTTAACACATTGCCAAGGAGGCAAGACATAAGCAATGAAATTAGAGAAACAATTGTTGCTGCCCATCCATCTGAGAAGGGTTATAAAGCCACTTATCTACCACCCACTCTGCAGCATAACACTCCACAGGACAATTGAAAAAACAGACTATGAACATTCTTTATCAATAGGCCAAATATAACATAGATTTCCACCTGTGTGCAAGAGTATATGTGTGCAATATTTACTCTCAATGTGGCTTAATAACCTCTGTCTCATAACTGTGCATCATGTAATTGTAACATCATTTTGACAGCCATCCAGCTCTGCTGAAGAAACTTGAATAACAGTTAATTTCTCAAACAGTACTTGAATTTGATGATAGATGACTACAAACCAGTACATTTGTCTCAGACAAGACCACACATTTTTATTATAGCCATCCTGTAGGAATGCTCTTTAACAAGCAATGGCAAATCAGTCATTAATATATATATATATATATATATATATAGGGTCTTTACAAATATATTACATTCAGTTTTAAAATGTCATACACTTGTATATCCACTTAATCAATAGAGTCCAAAACTGTTTTGGCACTACAGTCACTGTTCCACAGAGCCTGCAAGGCAGTGCCAGTCAACAGGATTTGCTCTTAAGGTCCCCACACACCTTACGATAATCGTATGATAATCGCGGCATAGGCAGATCGTACGTTTTTTTAAGTACCTTACAACCATCGCAAGACAAAAGTCTTGCGATGTTTGTAAGGTGTGTGCCCAGCCTAAGAGTAGAAGGCTTCATACCAGCAGCTTTCCTTATATGGGATCTGCCAAATAGTGCTAAGTGCAAGGAATGTAACAATTATGTAAGAATATTCGCCACAGGTTTTAGTGAAACAAACATTCATAACCGGGAAGCCTGTCCAAATATATTTAACATTTACAATGATTTCAAAATCATTATGGGTTATCTAACAGAGAACTTGCTGCCTTCAGGCTTGCTCTGTCTGATTGAAACCTCAAGCAGAGCTGTCTAATCACGGCTCTGACTCATTGACTTTTGTGTATAAATTTCACTTTGATCTGTAAGAAACAGACCTTTTACAATAAAGGAGATAGAAAAAAAAACATATGAAATAGAACCTAAAGCTTCACTTGCTTGTTGGACAGAAGATGTTATAAAATGTCTTAATATTGCATATTTACCTAAGAAATACAATATATGTATATTTTTTTATCCCTCCCCATAATAAGTAACAATATGATATGATATGTTAAGGAATATGATATGTTCCAAACACCAATACATTATGTTTAGGTTGGCTTCATACCTAAGCGCTATGGTAATGTACTTATTACTGCAACGCACAGTGTCAATAATTATGGATGGTACCCCAACACCCAAGTATTGCACCTCTGAGATACATGCATTGCAGAACATGGTAAGGTACTGCCATATGTTGTGGTGGGCTGCAACAGGAAAATAGTGCAGGTGCATTTTCTGGTCAGTAGTGTTGTGCTGCTATAACAGGGTAGGCAACCTTGGCTCTCCAGCTGTGCTGCAACTACAAATCTTATAAGGCATTGCAAGCCACAGGCATGACTCCCAGAGGCAGAAACATGATGGGATTTGTAGTTTCAGCACATCTGGAGAGCCAAGGTTGCCTACCCCTGTGCTATAACATAACAAGTGATTATGCATTAACACACCACACTGAACTGTAAATTGGGCCTTAATTCTTGAGCTCTTTAGATGCATTTTGGACACATATTAATGTGTGTTGTAAAGTAATCCCATTTAACTATTATAAATACAAAAATAAGGGTATGATTGGGTGTTTAAAGCATACACAAGTTCATCCCACTCGTAGTTTGATGAGTCCTAAAAAGAGACATAGGGGTTGATTTACTAACCTTATAAACACACCACGAACATGTATACACTTCTGTAGTGTGTTCCCTCCCAGCATGATCTATGGGTGGAATCTAAACACCTTTGTAGTGTGTACACACCCAGCAGGTGTGTTGTGCAAAGCCCTGCATGAATTTGCAAGGTGACGTTGTGTAAATTAGCTCTATGTTGTGTTGCTTGCGTTGATGAATGCAGGAATGTAA